TGGCCGCCCGTGGGACGCGCGCGGGGCCGGGGCTGGCCCGGAAGAACGTCACCATGAAGGGCTGCTTGGAACGGGGCCCCCGGCGCCCCAGGAGCCCCACCGAGCCCGGGTCCACGCTGTGCCCTGTGGGGACAGCACCACGCAGGGGTTTGCTCTTGGAACCACAACCTGGTTTGGGTTGGAAAGGACCATAGGATCATCCGGCTCCAACCCCTGCCACGGGCAGGGACACCTCACACTAGAGCAGGTTGTTCCCAGCCCCTGTGTCCAACCTGGCCTTGAACACTGCCAGGGATGCCAAGGAGAAAAGAACACAGGAAACATGCAGCAGAGAGCTGTGGTTTGGGCATCCCCAAGAGGCTGGATCCTCCTGCTCTGCTGCTGTTGCCCAGGGGGTGTCTGATGTTGTTGCCTAGGTACAGCCTCGTATTTCCCATGCAATGGTCACATAGAGCAATTCAAGGATTAAAACCAAATGAGACCCAAGCAACTGATTTTCCCCTTTGTCACTGGGGAGGAAAACTTGGAGGGAGTGGGATTGATGGGGCATTAATTTTCCCCATCTGTGAGAGCGGCCGCTCTTCGTGTGCCTGTGCACCTATAAAGGCACCTTTGGAGCAGATTTGAACCTGTGGTCAGAAGAGGGTTAATCCTCCAGCACACACAGGAGGATACCTCCAGGTAAGACATTCATTAGGAGCTAATGGGGTTATTAAAGTCCACACCAGGAACCCCATTAGCATGAAGCCTTTGGGAGGCTTTGCCATCAGGCCCTGCCGGCAAACCCAGCCGGCTCCTGGCGCCGGGCTCTCCATCACATCTGGAAATCTCTAATTGCAGCCGGAGGAACTCCACCACAGTCTGAGTGGCACCAGGAGGGCAGGAGAGAGGGCTCCAGGTCCTGGGGCTTTACCCCCAAGCACTGTAGGTGGCTCAGGCAGACTTACCATCATCTGTCTCCACGTAGAGGCGCAGCCCCAGGTTGTATTTCTGATCCACTAACCAGTGGTTGCTGGCAGCTGTGACATCAAACACCAGCCACCCCTCGGTCCCAGCATGTAGGTCCTGGACATCCAGCAGGAACAGGTCAGACTCCCTGTAGGAATGTGGGAAAATAGGAGCAGGTGAGTAACAGCACCCAAAGGGCACCAGCACCAGCGCTAGTTCACAGCAATGACTCCCAGTGCCCGTGTCCGTACAGGTCCTGGTGTAGCAGGTCAGGAGGGCAGCTCCCAGCGCCTCCAGCTCTGCCTGACATGGTGGTGACACCCTGGCACTGCCCTGGGAAAAGCACCTTCCCAGCCCCAGCTGAAAAGCCGGGATGTGGCATTGCCTGGTGGGAAAGTGTGGGAGCGGGGCAGCCTCTGTGGTGCTTGTATGGTGGTGGGAAGGGGAAGTCCTGGGGCCTGGGCAAGGCTCCATCCTCATTTCCATCCCCACCATTCTCATTCCCTATCCCCATCCTCATCTCCATTTCCATCCTCATCCCCATCATCTTCATTCCCATGCCCACCCTCATCTCCATCCTCATCTCCATTCCCTTTCCCATCCTCATCCCCATCCTCTTCATTCTTATCCCCATTCCCATTCTCACCTCCATCCCCATCCTCATCTCCATTTCCATCCTCACACCCATCATCTTCATTCCCATGCCCACCCTCATCTCCATCCTCATCTCCATTCCCATTCCCATCCTCGTCCCCATCATCTTCACTCCCATCCCCATCCTATCCCCATCTCCATCCCCACTCCCATCCCCACCATCCCATCACCTGTTGGAGTGCTCGGCTGCGATCTCGTACACGCTCACGTGCAGGGTGCTGTTGCCGTGGCGGGTGGCACCTCGTGCCTTGTAGATGCGGAACTCGGCGGCTGTCACCGACTCGCCCGCGGGCACCTGGGTCAGGTCGAATCTGAACTCCTTCCAGTAGGGCTTCGGCGAGAAGATGTCCCGGTCCTGCTCCACTGCGGAGCCAAGGGGTCAGGGTGGGCTGTGCTGGACCTCCGTGTGCCACCAGCCACCCCGGTGAGAGCCTGCAGCATCCCCCTGGGTCCCACCAACGGACCTGGGCACAGACCCTGCTGGGCCCGGCTCCTCACCCACTGCCTGCTGCTGCACAGGCCCAGCGCTCCTCTCCCAGGGGTTTCAATCATCATAGAATCACAGTTTGGGTTGGAAGGGACCTTACAGATCACCAAGTTCCATCCGTCTTGATGCAACCCCTCTCTATTTATGCACACATCCCCCAACTTTATTTTGCTGTAAACTCACCAGCCTCCCAGCCTTATCTCTTTATTCTTAATGAATGAAATAAAACTAAACTAAACTAAACTAAACTAAAATGCACAAGGGCTTGGTTATGGTGGGATCACAGAGAAGCTGCCCCTTGTGCTCTGATTTAGGGGCTGCAGCCCTTTGCAATTCTCCAAAGGGTGAAAAATGCATCCAAAACCCCAAGATGTCACAGATTCTCAGCCTGGTTTCGGTTGGAAAGGACCTTAAGATCATCCAGGTCCAGCCCCTGCCCCAGGCAGGGACCCCTTCCACTGCCGCAGGTTGCTCCAAGCCCCTGTGTCCAACCTGGCCTTGAACACTGCCAGCCACAGCTTCTCTGGGCACCCTGTGCCAGCGCCTCAGCACCCTCACAGGGAAGAGCTTCTGCCCCAGAGCTCATCTCAGTCTCCCCTCTGGCAGGTTCAAGCCATTTCCCTTGTCCTGTCCCTCCAGGCCCTTGTCCAAAGCCCCTCTCCAGATTTCTTCTCACCCCTTCAGGCACTGGAGCACTCTTAGGTCTCCCCAGAGATCTGGGGGTCGGCAGGACTGCCTGGTGTAGGAATCTGGGATTTTTCAAGCTCTTCTTGCAGCGGGTCCTCAGGGGACACAATCTGGTCACCCTGGGGCTCCCCAGCTCCATCACTGAGCATCACAGGTCCCCCATCACCTGCAGGCTTTGAGGAGGGGGCAGGGGAAGTGCCAGGGCACTGCTCTGTAAAAATAACCCCTCTCCTTGTCCTGAAAACAGCAGCTTTCTGCAGAAATCCAGCACGTGGTGGGCAAGGCAAAATGTGGTGGTTAATTGAAGTCCATAAAGACAAACCCCAGCCCCCTGTGTGTGTGTGTGTGTGTATGTTTGTGTGTGTGCCTGGTGACACAGCCCCACGCAGGTTCCCCAACATGTAATTGTTTCATTCAACTTGCTCCTTACAAATATCCCAACTTGTCCTGACTGAAAGAACTCAAGGGATTGAAGCTCCTCCTGCTCCAGGCTCAGCAGCAGCAGCACAGCTCAGACCTGGTGGGTGCTTCCTTTGAAAACTAAACCAAAGACTTAAAGGAAGAAAAGTGTGCGTATAAAACATATTCTTTTAACCCATTCCAGGTGATAAAACCATTCCAAAGGGAACACGCCATAAAGCTGCTGAGAGCTGAGATTTTAGTTATGCATCCTCAGGTCCTTTTTGTTTTTCGTCTTCTTGGTTTTTCCCTTTTCTTCTTGTTTTTTTCCCTTTTTCCCTGTTTAAAGCCCCACATTCCCTCCTGGCTTCACCACAAGTCATGGATAAAAAAAGCCCGGGCGGATGCGGAGAGTGCTTCCTGCTGCGGGACGCTCCGGCCGCAGGCAGGAGGGTGCTGGGGAGCCAGCTCCAGCCCATGCAACCCTCACGAGCGACACACACCAGTCCCCCAGCCCTGCTGCGGCCCCTTGTGCTCTTTCCTGCTTTCCCACTTCTTCCACCAACCCAGCGCTGGTGGTTTAATGCTCCTGGGCCATTAAGGATGCTCCTGAAGCCGCTGGTGCCCCGTGACTCTTGCAAAACTCATGGATCCTACCAAAACACAACCAGAGGCATCACCTCCATTTCTTCACCATTAACGCACAGCAGGACATCCAGGGGACATCCAGGTTCAGAGGGGGGTCCCCTTGAGTATTTCTTGGGTCACCCCATTGCTCCCTGGCATCAAGCAAGACTCAACCGGACTAAATATCAACTCAGAAATCACTGGAATTCATCTTCAGCAAAGTGATGCTGCTGGTGAACCCTTCATCCAGGGAAAGGCAGGGGGGAATTATGGCCAAGGAGGTTGCAGGGACCCAGAAACCCAGAAACAACCCACCGGGGTGATTTTGGATGCCAGAGAACAGTGAAAATCTTTGTTAAAGAAGCAAGGTTCTCTGGTATGTCCTGAGAAGCTGTGGCTGCCCCATCCCTGGCAGTGTTCAAGGCCGGGTTGGACACAGGGGCTTGGAGCAACCTGCTCTAGTGGAAGGTGTCCTTGCCCATGGCAGGGGTTGGAGCTGGAGGAGCTTTAAGGTCTCTTCCAACACAAACCAATATGACATATTCCCATTTATGTGATGGATGAGTCCAGGGCCGAAGGCATTGATGGGGGAGCTGGCAGGGTGGGAAGCTCAGGGGCACCCAGGCAGTACCTGGCCAGGAAGAAGAAATACTAAAGGAGACCACAATTAGCTGTGCACCATGATGAACCGAATGGGCTGGCCAGAGTAACAAGCTGCCTAGGATTTGGCACAAGACTCAGAGGAATCCCTGCTTTCTCTGCCCTTTTGTGGAGCAGAACCCCTGTGGAAGGGCAGGAGCAAGGGAGAAACATCCTCTCGTGCACAGATATGGGGTTAGTGCAGCAGAGGAGGGCGATGGGCACGGACAGACAGCAAACAGCAGACAGCAAACAGCAGACAGCAAACAGCAAACACCCACCCGGGGGTGATGGTCAGCAGGTTGGAGGAGGTTTAACATCACCATGTTTTCTGGCGAGATCATAAACATCTACACACCGAGAAGCCTGTGGTGGGGCAGAGCCCAGCGCATCCCAACGCACCCAGCACCCTTTGCCCAGACGGAAAAGTGGGTGCTCAGTGGTGCTGGAGCTGGGGTGTGCGGGAAAGGGCCCCACCCACCCGGGGGTGATGGTCAGCAGGTTGGAGGAGGTTTAACATCACCATGTTTTCTGGCGAGATCATAAACATCTACACACCGAGAAGCCTGTGGTGGGGCAGAGCCCAGCGCATCCCAACGCACCCAGCACCCTTTGCCCAGACGGAAAAGTGGGTGCTCAGTGGTGCTGGAGCTGGGGTGTGCGGGAAAGGGCCCCCCCTCCCCGGCCCGGCGCTGGTCCCGCCTGGGCAGTGGCCATCGATTGGCGGGGGTGTGAGCGGCTCCGCAACCCTCAATTAGCTGTGGGCGGATGATCCGGATTGCGGATGAGACGCACTAAAAACACCCAGCCCAAGCTCTTTGCTCTCCTTGCCCCCTCCTGTGGCATTTCCCATCTCGCCCCTAAGAGCTGCTGAGTCTTCCCCCAGAGCTGAACGCCAACGCCTCTGCCGCGGGCTCCCGCCACCCCAACAATGGTAAGAAAATAGAACACAGACATATATAAATGCCCATCGGACCACAGCAGGGGATGCCCAGCTCTGGCTCTGCTGTATCCCAGCCCACTCCCAATCTCTTCCCAGAGGTGGGGTGACGGGTGACGGGGCCGCCAGCCCTTCGTCCTGCTCCCCAGGTTATTTTGAGCTGCACTTTTTCCTTGTGAACTTGCTCTGTTGCTATAAACTGCGCATCAGTCGTAATTACTGGTCCTGGCTGCTCCCAGTGGTCCCCATGATCATTTCAGACACTAAATTAAAAGGAATTGCCAGGATATTCAACCACATCAAGTGCTCTGCGTCCTAAAATAGGTTTAAAAGGAGATGCAAGGAAGATGCTATCCTTTGCTTGCAAGCAGGAAAAAATAAGCTTTCCAAAGCAGGGAGAGATTCAGGAGTTATCCCGAGTGCTCCCACCATCCTCCTGAGATGAAGAGCAGGAGCTGCAGGACAGAGGGCCCATTTGCATGGGGCTGCGGGGCAGCTTGAGCCCCTGTTGGCAGCCCCCAGCCCTACCAGCAGCCACCAAGGGCAAGGTGGATGCCAGGAGGGGAAGAGGAGACGTGTGTGTCATGGTGCTGATGGGGGGCTCGGGCACGCTGTGAGCTGCCTCCACACCTTCCCGTTACAACCCCCTGCTCCATGATTACACCCTGCATGGAATCGTGACTCACGTCTGGTGGCTCAGCCCCGGCCAAAGAGAAATCAAAAAGCCCAACCTTACCCCAGGCTTAAAAATGCAACCCACCCGACTCCTCCAGCCAGCACCCAGGAATAGCGCGGGTCAGGCTTGGAAGGGTTTTATCTCCACACCGAGAGGGATGAGCCAGGCTGTTGTGGCGGG